AATTCATGACTGTAGTGGAATTATGTCCATAATTCATCCTCATTTTTGTCCAGAACCTCTAATTATGCTTCAGGGACCATTCTGTAATTTTTCCAAAATTTTAGGGTCAAATTGTAATTTTTGTCAAATGGAGGACCAAACTAAAATTATCTAAGAAACACATTAGATGATGAATAACGTTATCAGTCAACTCTTCTCTTCCAAAAATGTATCCATGAAATATAACATGAGAAGTGATTTTTATAGGAAAGAAATCAATATGAAAAACTAACCTGGCAGCTTCTTGTCAGTAAAGAATGTTACAAAATTTACAGTATACCTGCAGAAGCATTAAACAATCCGATAGGGCAGAAGCATTAAACAATCCAAACCTATCAGACAGTTTCCAGGGAATCAAATTCAGGACAAGATCGAGTCCTTCTACCAGGCAACAAAAACATCAACCGTGAAATGTTTGCTAGATGTTAAAATAAGAAAGATCTGAACCACAGCAAGTAACCAAGCAAGCTGCTTAATGCAACTGCAATTATGGGCCAAGTATTGCCAACAGAAGTGAGAGTCAGTCCTTGTATACAATAGAATGCCATATATATGGTTCGTATGCACAAAGACTACAGTAAATATCATGTGCCATGAAAAAATAAAATCACTACAGCCATAATCAAAGCCTTTGGAAACCGCACATTAATGCGAGTTAAATGAGCAACAAGGTGCAGTAAAAATAATGACAAAAAATAGTTGAATATTTCAAAACTTATTGTTGGTCACAAACAATTCAATTGCACTCTCTAGAGGGGGCAGCCTGGCAAGATTTGAGCCCTGAAAAAGACAGTTGTGCCTGATTATAAGAAGATGCTTCAATCACAGCAATCTAACAGCGACAATAATTAAACAACTTTCATAACAGGGCAGCACCTTAAGTCCTGAAATTAGGGAATCTGATTGCATATGAGACGGGTCAGATAGACGAGTTGAATAGAATGTGACTATGCAGAGAATCTGGCAAGCCTAATCGAAGTACAGAAAAAAATACTTGAGAGTTGTAAGACATATAGGAGGAAAACAACAACTAGTATCATGCTCATCGCTCCATCTACTTACATATCATATAGTCATTCTGCGAGTGAATAATGTTCAGTGAAATAAATGATAAAAATAATCTCACAAGTAAAGAAACCATCTTCTGCTGTCAGTGAAAATGGGTAGCATTTTGGGTTCTCCTTTAACGACATACAGACCAGTGAAAAGTGCAGCCTGAAGAGTATCTCCAGCAAGTTACTCCACGAGATGAAACGAGCCTAAAACCAGTGTCTAGAGTCCCTTGGTGCGGGAAAATATTTTGAGAAGATCTAGAAAATACATGTCAAAACTATTGAGACATCTTTAGAAGTGTCAGTAATTACATATAAAGAAAATCTAGCAATGGTGCTTCAACAATTCAAAGAGTGAACAGAACAAAATTGGACTGGAAGATAAATCTTGATATATCTTGACAATATCTATCAGTCAGTCAAAACAATCCCAATAAGAATTTCAGAAGATAAATTGTTTTCTTCTGTTTTTTGGGTGGGGCTTGTTTGAGTAATCTCCAATATAATCCTTCCTGAGGATAAATTTGTCTTTTTACTTAATTTTAAAAATAAAAAAAAATAACAACACCCTCAGTCATAGCTTTAAATTTTTTTTACTTTAAAAATAATTTAATCATTTTACTATTTTAAATTTTAAAAAAAAACACATATATATTCATATATAGTGAGCTATACAAAACGATTTTAATTACCCCAACAACAAAGACATCTCATTTTTTTAAAAGGGTAAAAAATTAATTTCATTGTAGTAGTATAGGTTTTTATGTATTTGTAAGGCGTTGAGTTCTTGTTAATGTTTGATTGGTTAAACTTTCTTGACTTGTAAATTCAGGATTAATGTACTATTTCTGGGATATTAGATTTTTGAAGGCCGGTTAAATGTGGGCTTATGGATAGCATGGATTTTTGGGGACCATTACCACAGGATGCTTCCTTGGTCTTTACCATCCAAATCTTGCACTGTTGTCATGAATAATTAAAGATTACAGTTTCCAGGTTTATAATTTTCCCAGCTCTTTATTTAGCTGATGTTAACCCCCATCTTAAATTAGATTGAGGTTTAGTTAAAATGAATGGTTAACAGAAATTTGAATACTAATGGAAGGCAAAAACACCATTCACTGGTAATATTATGCACTTAAATTGATGAAGATAGAGTTGCTCTGAGCACAGCTGACACTGATTCTCTTGTCATAAGAACTCAAACCAAAACTAGCACAAAATACCATGCATGATCTCAGGCTTCTTGGCTACTTTCTTACCATCTCGGAAGCCTTGCAGAATATATGCTTATTTTTCATTTGATTTAACCACTAATCTCAGTGGCAGAACTTCAATCCAGGTCCATCCATTGCTCAAACAGCCGACTGAAATTGTATCTATCTATCTATCCATCCATCTATCTATCTATAATATCGGATGTGTCTAGTTACAGAGATCATTTGACTTCAAACTAGACCCTTCCTACCGGTGACATGGGTGGATATGAGACATATCTTGCAGGGACCTCTCCTGCAATTCCGTTTGGAGCCCGCATTCCATCGTTTTGTGACAGTATTGTCTCCAGAGAAGTTTTTTCTTCAAACAAGTTGCTAGATTCTGACATCTCACATAGTTTCTTACCATCTAGAACAGCTATACAAAGAGAGAATGCTTGTAATGTTGAAAGTGATGTATTGAACTCGACAGAATAGATCCCGTCCTTGAAAGGAGTCATGATGAAGACAGGTTGGTTCTCTTCTCCACACTGTGGATAAATATTGATTACGAGAAAGAGATGTAAGTTGACAGTTACAAGTGTGCGGTACAATTATTTGGTCTAAGCAATAGAACAAAGAATATACCTGAGAGACGAGCTCAAATTTATCAATTGGTGAACAGGCTTTGCTTGGACTTGATTTCTTATTAATTTGATTCTGGTTGACAAGAATCCTAAGTTTGCAACCCAAATCCCAACCTCCACAATCACATGATCCACCCGATCTCCAACGTTGGAGCAATGATGAAGGTCCTCCTTTGTTTGGCAGACTGTGAATGCCACTTGGAAGAATGACTGTAGTATTGATAAGATTTTGACTGCTAAGGATGGGCTGATTCTGTACATTACCAGAGGTAGAATTACACCTCACCTCTGAGAAATTATTGCAATTGATAGTCCGATTGCCGTCTCTGACAGTACTTCTATTGATTACTACAGGGATCTTGACAACAATGGCAGCTAGCTCATCATTAGGCTGAAAATCTAATGTTTGCTGTTCTGCCTGTTGTAGATCCATAGCAAACAAAACAAACTCCCTCGCAAAAGATTGTGCCATATAATTTTGTCTAGTTAGATTGGAAAACTGAGAACCAGAAACCTTCAACTGGGCAACAACATTGGGTATATAATCATGACATTTGCCCTTGCCACCTTGATTTATCCATCTCGCATTCTTTTTCTTGACTTCATGAATGGCATAGAAGTTGTAAATGCAGCTGTAGTCACCCTCCCTTGAGGCACTCAATTTCTTCATTGTGGCTGCAAGAATGTCGCGTTCATTGTCAACAGCGAAAGTGAATGTAGGTTGGCCATTCTTAACTGCAACTCGGAGAAGGGCTTGAAATGCTGAAGATATGTGCTTCTTGTCCTTGGATGAATCACTGACACTGATTCTACAGGGAGTGGTCGTGTCTGATTTTACTTTCCCAATCTGAGCAGCTCCAGGCATACAATCTAAATGAACATTGGATGACTTGCAGACTTTATCAGTTGATATAGAACCTCTCTGCAATTGCTCTACTGAAGGATGGAAGTTTGCTGCCTTAGGCTTCAGCATTGGATCCAGTAACCTTCTCAAAGGGCTTGACCGTGCTCTACTCGTAGCATTTTGTGTATCACTACTTTGATTTTCCCGGCATGTGGAAGCCATAGCAATCTCTGAACCAGATTGTGCTGGAT